TAAATATATACAATTAACCATTGAATAAGGGCAACATAGACATTTTCACTCTCCACTTATCCCACCCACGTGGACCCCACCCATCCCACCAACTACACAAATAACCACCCTCTCTCACACACAAACACACACTTTTCTCTCACACACTCACGCAACAAACAGACACACAAATTCATTCTCACCGGCGCCGCCCCAACTGGCCCAGACCTGGCCGATTCTGCCACCGACAATTGGTCACAACCCGACCGGCCGCCGCCACAATCTTCCGCCGCCAGCATCCGCGCAATCATGTTTTAACGCCGTCGCAATCGTACCCCAAATTTCTCAGATCTCAGCGCCTTCACTGCGGCATCTCGTCGGAGTTCCTCTTCGTCGCGCCGGCCTTTTTCAACCTCATCTCTAGCTGCTTCTGGTGAGGACGATTTTGAAAGTTGCGCTGTCGTACAGTACCAGCAAAGGGGCAGCGGCGGTGTGTAATCGAATATGGCAATCGATGTTGGGACCGGCCGTTTCGAACATGAGAAGACGAGAATCGGCCGACGAGAGGTGGCGGCCGACGAGAAGGAACCGTCGTTGAGAAGGGGCGTGAGAATGGTGATAACAGAGAGGCTGTCTATTGAGGGGGTCTAATTTCAAAAATTAGATAACTCTTAGGGACTCATCTGCAATTAAGAAAAGTATTTATATCTCAATTTAGTCCTTGGTCAAATTCATAATTTATTAAAAATCAAATGCTGAGAATAATAATAATTTTACATAATAAAAATAATAATAGAGTTTGTTTGTTATCTAAAGAAAATCAAAGAAAACGTCGAAAACTAAATGTCATAATCGAGGTTTTTAATGTAGAAAATGATAACCGAACCTTGTTTTTTAAATTCAAAATGAAAAATTTGGTTACGACATAACCGTTTACTATTTCGGATAAAATAATAAACAAAATAAGTGACGTAGATTATATTATTTATTATAAAAAATATGATTAGTACGCTGTGATTAATGTTTACCCAGATAAAATAATAAACAAAATCATGACATAAATTATATTATTTATTATAAAAAAAATGATTAATGTTTACCCAGATAAAATAATAAACAAAATCAATGACATAAATTATATTATTTATTATAAAAAAATGATTAGTACGGTGTGATTTATGTGTAAATGAAAATCGTACGGTGCAATAATAAAAAATATCTATTATTTTTTAATTTAAAAATTTTATATATATGTAAACGAAATAAACGGTGCAATATAACAATTATTAATGTGCAATTTGTACATCATTATGGTGCAATGTGTCGATCTGTATTGTGCAGATTGAACCTAATAAACCTTTGTCCCAAATCAAATTAGAAATGAATATAATTAATTAGTTTATTTGATTCGATTAACTGAATTATTCTATTATATTAAAATTATTTTTATATTAATAAATTTATTTATTAGTTTTGGTTGTCTCTATTGTGCAATCTGATAGTCGTGATAAAGTGCAGCGTGTTGTTTTTAAAGTGCAACGCGTTGTTTTTTAAAGTGCAACATGTTGATGTATAAAGTGCACTACTGTAATTTTCGTACGTTAACATGTTAACGTGTTTATGGTAATGTGGTATGTTGGTGGGAGTCATTGACGTGTGATAAAATGCAACGTGTTGTTTACTACAATGCAATGCGTTGTCTTGTAAGGTGCAACGTGCTGATATATAAAGTGCAATACTTATACGATCACATATGGGTTATGTGTTTTTTGAAAACTATGTTTAATAAATATAAATGTAGGTTGAATTAAGTTAAAAAATTATTATTCACTAGTATAAAAGTATATTTATTAATTTAACAATTCTTATATATAAAAAATAATAATTTGTAATATATTTTTATAAAATTCAGATTTAGCCCATGGGCTAAATTGAAATATAATCAAAATATCTTATTCTTAAATCAAGTCCTTGAATCTATTCTAATTTACAAAAATACGCCCTAGAAATTGATGTTGGGACTAAGGAGTTGCAGTCCATGTCCACGTCCGGCAGCGCGGCTGGACCTGACGGAGGTGCGGCGGTGCTGAGCCGATATGTCTTGAGGTTCAGCAGCGGGGCCGTCAAGTTGATTTTTTTCTT